CCACCCCTAAGTCAACCCCCTCCAGAGGATGTGCGACCCCCATCAAGATGATGTGCCACCCCTAAGTCAACCCCCTCCAGAGGATGTGCCACCCCATCAAGATGATGTGACACCCCTAAGTCAACCCCCTCCAGAGGATGTGTGACCCCATCAAGATGCCGTGCCACCCCTAAGTCAACCCCCTCCAGAGGATGTGCGACCCCCATCAAGATGATGTGCCACCCCGAAGTCAACCCCCTCCAGAGGATGTGCGACCCCCATCAAAATGATGAGCGACCCCTAAGTCACCCCCCTCCTGAGGATGTGCAACCCCTCACTTGGTCACCCCTCAGTTCCATTCTATAATATTTGGTACCATTCGGTCCCAGTCTGTTGAATTTGGTATTCTCATCCGTTCCATATGGTACTGTTCGGTGCCGTTCACGTTCCATTTGGTACCATTCTGTCGGAATATGTTCCATTCGGCATTGTCGTACAGTTCCATTTGGTACCATTCAGTCCCATTTGGTTGCATTCAGTTCCACTTGGTACCATTCAGTCCCATTTGGTTGCACTCGGTTCCACTTGGTACCATTCAGTCCCATTTGGTTGCATTCGGTACCATTAGGTTGCATTCTCTTCTATTTGGTATCATTTGGTCCCAATCTGTCCCATCGTGTTTGTTTTTTTTTTCCCCTAAAAACGGCCCACGGTGTAATAGAGGGTGGTAACCAGGCCTCAGGGTACCGTTCGGTTTCATCTGGTACCATTCGGTTCCATCTGGTACCATTAAGTTACATTCGGTACCATTAAGTTCCATCATCCTCCTGCCTGTAGGTGGGGTTATGTAACGTTGCCTGCTTGCCCACGTTCGACGTCCAGTTCGTCCTCTGCCTCCTCTGCCTCCTCTCCCTCCGCTTCTTCCTCCCCTGCCTCTTCCTCCTTTTCGTCTTTTCCGCCTTCTCCCTCTGTCCTCTTCCTCCTCTTCCTTTTCCTACTCTCTCTCTCTCCTCTCTCTCCCTCCTCTTTCTCCCTCCTTTTTCCTCCTTAACCTCTTCCTCTTCCTCCTCTTTCTCTGCTCCTCTTCCTCCTCCTCTTGGTTCTGGATGTTGCCCCTCCAAGCACAGAAACATCAAAAGAGAAGTTTCCAAGATCTTTCACCCTCCGCCATCCTCTCCTCCTCTTCCTCAATCTTCCTTCAAAGAGTAGAACATGATGAGAGACAGAATACCCATGCTTGTTCATCTCCTCCTCTTCCCCCTAGAACTATTCTCCCTCACCCTCCACCTCCTTTCCCTCGCCCTCCACCTTTCCCTCGCCCTCCTCCTTTCCCTCGCCCCCCTCCTCCTCCTCCACCTCCTCTCCCTTCCCTTTCATCTCCACCTTCTCCACCTTCCCCCCCCTCCTCTTCCTCCTCCTCCAGCTCCTCTCCCTCCCGTTTCTCCTTCTCTTCCTCCTCCTTATCCTCCGCCCCTTCCTCCCCCTTCTCCTCCTCCCCCTT